TCTCTGATTAACGCTGAAAATGTTCTCCGACAGAGGCCTTGCATTCAGTAGAATAGAAATTGAAGCTAATTTTCGTAGATGAACAGCAGCTTCTGAAAACCTGTGGTCTTTTTGGCTGAAGTGAATGAACTGCAGATCTAGTAACCTAGACATTGAAGGGGAATGTACCAACTGAGAAAAATTAGCGAATAGTCTAAAAGTTGACCGAAATTTAAACAAAAATCACGCAAATCGAGTAGCAACGAGCACGACAAGCCAAACAATTCAAGATTGGATAACCGTGAATTAAAGTGTGCAATTACAGACAATCATTCAATTTTTGTGAGCAAGCACGGAAATTGTTGGCAAACTTATGGGTGAGGGTAAACGAGTCATTTCCATCGTTTCGGCACCAAGCACTAACTTTGGCTTTCCTTACCCTTTCCTCGCCCAACACCCTACTAATCGTTCTAAGCCAACAAGAGGTATTATTTGTGGTGTTCGAAAAATGGGTGGATAACCTGGCTGTTTTGCATCACAAACAGGCCATCGACAAACCCTAAACTGGATTACTGTAGGAATTGAGATCCCGCCCAAATTTCTTTTTTTTTCTGAAGTACACGTGGTTGCTAAGGAGAAGGCGACCACAGGGAATGTCGGATTGTTTCAACTGCAAAGGGTAGCAGATATTCGCTCCTTCGCATCTTTTTGCATTTATCGATCTCTTACCTTTTATTGGAAGCAAAAACTATTTGTAGATAACCTTAATTGAGGAACGCTGTCAATCCGGGATTGAAATGCAAGGCCATGCCAAGCCACTACCCAAGCATTTGGTCTGGAGATCAAATCTGTTAAAGGTATTCTGCGATTCTAAAAAGGATTTAAATGCGTCTTGGGACTTTGCTGTCGGCTAGTGGTAGGAAAACTTGTTCCAAAAGTCAGTGGAGTAGGTAGACTTAGCTGGAAAGTAGTGCTTAAACATTACCTGTCCATGGAAGACGAATTAAAGAAGCCGTGAAGTCACGGTAGCGTTTCATTGTATGCATTTGCACGAGTTGCTCGAGGTGTTCTAACGTGAAGTCTTTAATGTGTAAATTTTTAATGGTGCTAAATTTCGAGGATTTTTCTCGAAGTACGGGTAATTTGTTACTATGGTTTGCAATATTGAAGTACTTTTGGTCTGTTCGAATGCATTTCAATGATTTTCTCATTCCATTTGATGTAAATTATTTTTGACACGTTGCTTGTTTCGTTTAAAGTGATTCCGCCACTCATATCGAGCAAAGACCATGACTTTCATCTGATTTTCAATTTAAAAATAGCGTTTTAGGGGTAAATCATGTCCAACCTATGGATGGATGACGGTCAGCAGCAAGATGCATGGTATGCGCAAGGGCAAGGAGCATCTCAACCGAATATGGGCTGGGGGCAATTCGACTATTCACAACAACAAAATACTAGTCAACAATATGCTAGCAGTAAGTTTTTTTACTTGGCTCATTTTCTTCATATCTTTCACGATCTTTTAGATCAAAACTATTATCAACAGCAAAATCCATATGCTCAGTCTCAGAATTTCTACGGTGGACAGATGTTTGTCCCGAACGCTGGGATTGGAGGTAATATTCACATTCGTTCTATAAATTTCTTATTTTTTCATGGTTTACCCCTATCTAATATCCCTTGCATTGCTATTTATTCTGGATACAAGTTATTCTTTTAACAACCTCTGCTTACAATCATGTGATCGGCTCGAATTTGATATTCACCGTTGGTGTTAAACAGTTGGTCCGGCTGCGAGAAGCGGGCTCATTTCGAATCGGCCATTTTCCTGTGCGTTCAATACTAGTTAGCATTTGCAATGATCGCGTCAGCTATCGCAGCTTTCGAATTTTCGACTACTACTTTCAAGTATCGCTTATAGCAACGACCTCTTGAATAGTAGGAGAGTTGTTCTAAAGAGAAGCCTTTGCCGGGCCTTCTGTTCTAAGACGAGCCGTCATAGTTTTCCAACTTTTCGACGACTACTTTAAAGTATCGTTTGGATCTGTGGCAGAAGGAATTCAATTTACCTCTCAGTGCCTGATCAGTGTATGCCTTTCGCTTCCACTGCCAAAAAACTAAATAATTTTTCTACTACGCTCAATTCCCAGTTAACACAGTCTTCATCAAGAAGACTATTCCTTTCAGCAGGGTTTTGTAGGTTTCACTTCGTGCTTGTTGAACAATTCCTTTTCAGGCACAGTGGGTGCCGATGGTGAAGATTATGAGAACGAGCCGCCCTTGCTTGAAGAGCTTGGAATAAATTTTTCTCATATAAAAGAAAAGACTTTTGCGGTCCTGAACCCGGCAGGCAGTGCGTCACCTGAAGTTATAGAGGACCAAGATTTAGCTGGACCTCTTGTCTTTTGCTTGTTGTTTGGTGGGTGATTAAACTCTCAACTCAGTGACCTTCACTTACAAGTTTTTTCTCTAGGGTTTGCGTTATTACTTCATGGAAAAATGACATTCGGTTACATCTATGGTATTGGTGGACTTGGATGTGTGGGCATGTATGCTCTAATGAATCTTATGGCTGGTGAGTTTTTTCATGCCATTGGTTATTTCCATGCCTTTTGTTGTACCTGTGAGCAAGTTTCTTTGATATGTATGGAAAACGCCTGTGATCAGCAAATATAAGTGCTGTACTGAACCCACAGATTTCCCTTTGACTTGTATCTTTCAAATTTTTGCAAGTTTGTATTATCAGCCAATAACCTATGTGCTCATTACTTCGAATTTCAGCTTGATTAGTCTTTGATAATGTCAAAAATGCGTGGTTTCCCTCCTACTGATTTTCCAACTTCATTATATAAATGTGGGACTGAAGTGCTGCCTGTTTGTTTCAGCGGAAAAGACGATCTCTTTCACATGTACAGCTTCTGTATTGGGTTACTGCTTACTTCCCATGGCGCTTCTAAGCATGGTCACTGCAGTATTATCATTTAAGGTTGGTTACTGGTTCCTTTTTGATTCTTCTTTGAGTTCTGAGATGTATTATTGATGAGTAAACAATATTATGGTAATTTTGGCCATGGATGTGTCCTACCAGCTTTTTCATATTAGGGTACTCTGTTAATTTCCTTTTCCAAATTTTCTTGCGAATGTTCATAAATGGAGAACCTTGAAAACTCTTCAATCGACATCTAGCGGTCATCTCTATTATAATGTCAGCCGATGTCTTTCTCGCTTTTTCATACAGCCATCCTCGCAACTGGTCGCCTGGAGTGTCGTCTTGCTCCCTGCCTTATTAAACAAACTCCATTACATTTCGTGTCGTTTCTATGTTTTATGTCATTACAAAGACTGTTGAAGAGAAGCGAGAATATAGATTGTTTTTATTGAGCAACCTACTTATTTTTATTATACGACATACTAGTCATACGCTTATAGGGTGCTTTCGGATACTCGGTATCAGCATTGGCTGTTATATGGTGTAGTTCGGCGTCGTCAAAGCTATTCGTGATAGCCCTCTCCATGCATCATCAACGTCTTCTAGTAGCGTATCCGTGCGTCTTACTGTATTCTGTTTTTGCATTGTTAGCTATCTTTTAGGCCATTTAGCCCTATATATGATTTTTTATCCCTATTATTTGTAACTTTCGTCTCCAATTAATTTCGTATTTATTTAACATTGCTGTTTTTACACAGCTGAATGCTGGCCATTGCCTAAAGTTCTGGCCGATTTTCGAAACATGAGTTGACTGGGGGCACTTGTGGTGGTAGCTGAGTGTTGAGAGAGCTGAGATGATAGAAAAGCTTTTCTAGGCGGATCGGTGAGATTTGGGGGTGTAGCCGTGGGTATTTAATACTTCTTTTATGGTAATGCATCGAGCTAGATCAGGTTCCTGGCGCTCTTGTTAATCAGAACGACTCCTATTTAAACAGTGAAGAATATGGCAGGCTGTTTAATTGCCTCCTTTCAATATATCCTATTTTGACCAATTTTGAATTACTTAAAGTGGAATCAGTATGCTGATAATCTAAAGTTTCTGATAGTTTTCTATGACAGATCTAGCTTCCTCATTGCCCTTCAGACTTTAAACTTCCTCTATCATTATACCCTTTCATACGAAAATTAAGTCTCTGTTCATGTTCATAATTCTATTTAATTGTAATCTTTGGGTATATTTTGTTGCCTTTCTTATTTTCTTGTTGTTCAATGTAAATTTTATTGTTTGTTGGTATACTGTTTATGCTGTCGATTGGTTAATGAAGGGTTCATGCAGTATGTGATTTACTCAAATCCGCTGTGGATCAATCTCAGACTATTTTGCCGCCGTTTTTGAAGAGTCTACTACACAAAACAGCGCCAGAAGGCGTTCGGCTGTTTCAGATATGAACTTGAAAATAGAGGAAAAACCGGAGGCATGGCACGTCACCCCAACCCCAGGATATGTGTTAAAGTTCAATGAGGTAATTTTTTTTTGCAATTGGTAACCCACAGGAAAGAGCTTTGCGTGGGCCCTATAATCCTTGTTCTTCTAGTGAGATTGTAGCAGGGTGGTTATGAAGTCTGTGTAAAATTGATTTGTGCATGCTTGTTTTTTTATCAAACTTGTTTTGTAGTAGAACTGTGGAAATCTTAGGGGCTGTGTAATTCCCTTTTCAGGTTGATATGAAATTGGTATTTGGTGAAAGCGAGCCGCATAAATGCTTCCTAAACGTTTGTCATTGTGAGGAATTGCCGCCACCCACCGATGATATTGATGAAGTAAGTGTGAAGAGTTTTTTTCGCTCATAGTAATGAAGTGAAATGGTGTTACGAGTATTGCTCTTAGTGTTCTCAATGCCTAAGTGTTTGATTTCAAAGATCTTTGAGAGAAGTCGTGCACTCGGTTTCCACCTGTGTTTGTCTTCAAGATGGGTTTTTGCTATAGCACCAACATAGGATTCACTCCATATGCTTGCTCAGCTTTGTTAGTGCCTGGAATTTTAACTCTACAGAAGTAGTAGGAGCTGATCAGAATCCTGATTTGCAATCGGTTTCAATAAATCCCTACTACCTCTGCAGAGTGCAATTTGTTGTTTTCTCCTGAGCATAACTAAGGGGGCCATGATCCATGAGTGAACTCATTACTATGGAATGGATCGTGAGTACAGCTCTTATCAACACGCCGCAGTTGCCCTTTACTGAGAGCAGAATGTACCAAATTTTTCAAAATTTCCAGGAAGAGCTTGCGGCCCGCATAGATAAGGGAGATGTCGGCTACCGAATACCGCTCAGCATTGGTGAACTTGACAGTGTTGTTGATAACAAAAATGTCAACCAACCAAAGGTGCGTTCATCAAGGGAAACACCTATCCTTCTCATTCTGTGTTAATGATAGCTATTAAGATCGACGTATTGGTTAATAGTGTTTTCTACGAGAAAAGGCTTGCACCACCTGCTGCCAATTTCTTCCGCCATTTCTTCTGCATGGTAGTGTGCGACGCCATTGAAGACAAGGTGCCTCCAACCACTGTATAAATAATCCCGAAAGTTCCGAAGTTATAAGCAGTGATCGATGTTTCTTTGATTTCAGCATCATTTGAAACTGGATCCAAAGAAATGTGTGAAGTTGAAAAATCGTACTGTAATGGGTTGTATCGAACCGATGAAGATCAACAAGAGACCCGTGGCTCCGGTTATTCAGGAACTCGCTTCAAATGTGACTCAGGCAAAAACTCCTGTATGTCAATTTTTTATTGCAAAGACTGAACAACCTAGGAAGCAGTTTATTGTGAACACTAGACTGCAGTGCGTTTTGCCTCATTGTACACCATGCCTTTCTTCTCAGCACCTTTAATTACTCGTTTAACCCCTGTAACATTATGTATCTCAAGCAATTCATGCTCTGTTCGGTCGCTTAGGTAGAGTAATAACACTGAGTTTGCATTAATAGTGTACTGAATAATTTATAATTGATTCGGTAGTGTAAAAATATATTATATTCAGAAAGTTACTCAGCAAGCATGCGTTTCTATACGGCTTCTGGAAGGAACTCATCTTGAAGTGGAACTCTCCTTGAAAAAGGAAGAGATTCGTTCTGTAAGGAGGTGAGTGACGGGGTGAGTTTCGTACTGTATGAGATGATTAACATCGATTCTGTCTACTGAATGAACGTGTTGATGTTCTTTTCATTCCAGTCCAAACTGCATTGGCATCAGCTTTAAACTAGTTGTGATCCTTCTTCTTAGTTTGTACCGCCAGTAAGGGAAACATTTCAACGTCTTCTGAGAGGTGTCGGGTGTTCAGATCAAGCATTGGAGTAGATTCCGTCTAGACTGCTTAGGAGAGGATGCTTGCAGTGCTACAGAAAATTACTCCATCCAGTGTTTATAAATTTCTATTTTGAAAATCGAAAGCCTGTTTCAGTTCTGGAGAGTTCGATTGTTGAAAACTATAGGGCTTACCAAAGTCAACAAATCGTACCTTTACTACCATTTTGTAGTGAAAAGGGATAGGGGCAGAGTCCCGTTTGCCTATATTCGACAGAAGCATTCTCTTGCTATTTCCCTCTGCTTGCTATTTTGACCCAGATTTTTTCACAGTTCTGATTTCTACTTGAAGACAAAACTTTTTCAGCTCGTCTAGAATCTCAGGTTTTTACAATTTCTATTCAGGTTGCGGCTACGTATCAATCGGGATCGTATTGTTTTGTTAGCCGATAACACTAAAAGTCTTTATGATTTCTGTGTACCTTTTTATATGGATTCAGCGAAGGTTCGACACAAATTTATTCCTGAAACGGCAAAATTGGAGTTCTCAGTGCCTATCTATTATCCTTAGTTTGTCTCTCGAACATTGTTGAAGCTTTAGCTTTATCGAATTAGATATCGTAGACGTGCCGGTGATGTTTACCTACCAGTTCTTGTTACATATATTGTTGTGCCGTCGTTTGTCACGGGTACTTATGCTTGTTATTCGTTGTTCTCGTTTTCATAAATGTGAAAAGATTGACCTGTGTTTATTATAGTGAAGGGTGTTCCCGAAAATTCGTAGAGAATTTGGAGTTTTGAAGAATATTTTGATCGATCTCTTCAGATGTCGCATTTGGTCGCACACAACACTCTTATGATTAAAATCGGCAATTGTTTTTTACAAGGTGGACTACGTAGAAATCACGTTAGTTTTCCAACATTTGCTCCACAAACATGATTTAAAAGACAATAGATTTTGTTGTTTATCGAGCTATCGAATATAAGTAGATTCAATTCAGGCTAGGCCCGAGGCTGTTAGACAGCTGAGTCCCTTAGTGTCATCGTGTATCTCTAAGTTTGAGGCTATACTTGGCAAGGAAGCTGTATCGACTAAAGAGTCGATCCGAGCACAATATTCGAAAGATGAAGGCCATCTCTTGTGAGTTTTAGCTGCCTACTTGATCCTGATATTCCAAGGGGTGCCTGCCACTAGAATCGCTTCAGCACAGCTGCATCGTTCAGGCCTCATCTCCCCTCTGTGGTGCTGCTGCCCACGTCTGTCGAGCAGATTTCAGCTGTTGTACGTGTTTGTAATGAACAGAAAATCCCCATTGTTCCGTTTGGGACTGGAACAGGACTGGAAGGAGGCAGTGTTTCTCTGATGGTTGGTTGTCCAGCATGTGGCTGAGCTCTTGATTAGACCTTTGAATTATACAACGGGCCATACCGCCATCCGGTATTAAACTCAAACCCTCTTCCTAGTAGCGAATTAGCCGTTTTATAGCTTCTATTGACGGTTTTTGAGAGTAGTTATAGCCTTTTACTCTAGAATCTCCATTTTTAATGTGTGTGTGTTACAGCATTACGGTGGCTTTTCACGGTAGTGAAGATTCTATACATTCACAGTTTTGTTAAATCTACGATAAATTTCTTCCGCCAACAGGATGGAGTATGCATTTCTGCATTGAACATCGAAGGTGGGATCTGTGAATTGAATGAAGCAGACTTTGACGTTGCCGTACGACCGTCAGTCACAAGAAAGCAATTGAATGACCATATCAGGAATACAGGACTGTTTTTCCCAGTTGGTAAGATTCCGATTTGTCAGGGTTATGTTGATAGGATCGTTTAAGCTCCTCAATACTATGTATTGGTGTAAATTTCAGATCCAGGAGCCGACGCGTCATTGTGTGGCATGTGTGCAACTTCTGCCAGTGGAACCAATGCGGTTCGATACGGTTGGGAACCTCTACTGGAGCCAAAGTAAAAAAGAATAAGAGAGAAGCATGTCTGCCACGGTTAACGAAGAAAAATTCGTTGGAGGTTCGCTTAGTCTAGTTGCACGCTGCCTGCAGAGGTCGTTCATACAGAAATTGGCACCTCCAACCTCTACTCTCGATTCAGCAGCATTTTCACACATAGGGGTGGTAGCGCATTAGTTCCCTCAGAGAGTAATCAAAGGCAAGAGAAAAAAAAAACTTCGCAGTGTTGAAATTCTTCATATATTTCAATTTTTCTTTTGAATCTGACTTCCGCATATTTCCGATTACTACAGGAACAATGAAGGAAAATGTACGCAATCTCGAAGTGGTGTTAGCAGATGGTTCCGTTCTGCATACAAGAGGAAAAGGCACAAGAACCAGGTACGTAATCGAAAATTGTCATTAGTATGACCATTGAGAATGGGTTGAAATCGCCGACACAAGGTAGGGCCCTTCTTGTTTACAAAAGTGTTTCGTACTTGGAGGGAGGGCGAAAATTGTTTGCCCTCGTTGTTGTTGTGGTCACCTACAGAAAAAGGAGTAAGCCTTGGGAGGGTTGTGATAACCGATTCGTTCAGAAAATCGGCAGCCGGCTATAATCTCACGGAACTCTTCATTGGTTCCGAAGGAACTCTAGGAATCATTACAAAAGCTGTTCTGAGGTACTGTTGCAATTAAGTGTCTACGTTTTTTACTCTGCACATATTCACAATTCTCCTTAATAACGTTTGAGACAGTGTTCACTTCGTGAAAAAAACATGGGAAAAATCAGTGGGAAAGGGCCGAATACTCCCGGGCTCAGAACAGAGTTAGTGGGAATTATCCCGTAGTGCATTAGTGCCCTAATTTTTGAAACTATGCAGCGTGCAACAGATTCCATCCTTTCTTCCAGTTCCCCGGAAGGCGATTTCACTGGAATGACCTGTGAGTGGCATTTCGACTTACAAGAGCCTGAACGTGCCTGCTCTTTCTGTGAAAAATGTATGTTTGAAGCGCTCAGGTCACTTGAGCCACGCATTCATCGCCCTCTCCGTACTGTACCGTTATCTATCGAAGCTCCTGTACCTTGCTAGCGCACTACCTACGTAGCACTACCACTATCACACCTCCTGCTCTATCGGGATCAGGATCAGACTAGCGCGAAATGGCGAGCCATAAAAAAGTCGTGCTGTACTACAGGCATGGTAAGGTGCTCGAGTCGAGGGCCGACACCCGCCTACGTTCATTAAGTCTTTCATCCTTTGGGGCCGAATAATCCGTACCGAACTTGCTTAGGAAGACAGAGGCTATGCTTGTTACATGTTTGGCCTTTGCATTGACTTGCTTGGGCCAGCCCCGCAAGTCAATGCAAAGGCCAAACATGTTTTCGAAGCATTCTGTGCTAGATAAGTCTGGATCGTTAATCAAAATGGAATAATGCAATACTTAAGGCTCCATCCCAGACCACAAGCACAAGCAGTAGCTCTCTGTCATTTCCCTACAGTGGCAGATGCTGTGAATTCAGTTGTGGAAACTCTACAAATGGCAGTTCCTGTTGCCAGAATAGGTAATTGAGCTTTTTTCATTCATAGTTTTATTTCAAGTATATGATCAGTTTGAAATTCCATAGAGTTCCTGGATGATGTTCAAGTGGCTGCATGTAATGTCTACAGTAAGTTGAGTCTAGCCGAGCAACCAACTATAGCCCTCGAGTTTCATGGACAGAATGAAAACGAAGTGGCAGAGCAAGCAAAGTTTGTGGGTACGAGTTTACTTTGAGCTCACATTTGTCGGAGCGAAGTACAGTAATGATACAACTCTAAATGTAGGAGAGGTCTGTACGAACAACCGAGGCTCCGCGTTTGAATGGGCAGTGGAGCTGGAAGAAATGGAAAAATTGTGGGCAGCACGGCATAACGCGTATTATGCTGCATTAGCGATGAGGACTGGAGCGGTGGTAATCAAAAACCATGTTCTTCTACTCACTTACTTACTATTTACTATTTTTTTTCTCTGTTTTATGACTTTTTGATTAACTTCTTAGGTGCGTTTTTCTAGGGCTTCACTACAGATGTATGTGTACCGATATCAAAACTGGCAGAGACGATTGTCCAAACCAAAGAGGACTTGGAGAATTTGAGCCTTAAAGGTTTGCCTCTACGTCGCCGCCCTGTGTATGTCCCTCCTCAGAGAAATAGTGGTTTTTTTACACTTTTACTGAAGTCTTCGTGCTAGGAAGCGGATCTTCATGTGTCCAGGGCAACTTAACGTCAACCAGGGTCCTGCAGTCCCCCCTCCCCCCTACAGGGCCCCGCAAAATTCCTATGGAAGGCGTGGTGTGTGAATTTGCTGTGTGCCCTCATAATGTTGAACCTTGAAGAGATTGACGGGTCAATTAGTTGTGAGACGGTTGGGCCATGAGGGATCCTCTGAGGATAAGAACATCTTCTACTAAAGGTTTTGCCTGAACTAAACAAATTCAGGTTGTGCTTTACATATAAACACATAGTAGATAGGCCTTCTCTGCTAGCTCTGAATATATTCATCACTTATTCAAATTTTCGTTTTTGCTTCAGGTGCAATTGTTGGACATGTGGGTGATGGAAACTTCCATGTGATTTTGCCAGTTTTTGAAGAAAACTGTGAAGAAATGAAAATTGTGCGAGCATTTTCTGATAGACTCGTTCGGTAAGTCTTTCTCACGGCTCTCACTGGCTGTAGCCTCACATTTTGCTGCCTCGGCCGATTATCAACTCATTGTAAGGGCTCTACAGCAGTCACAGCAGTACTAGATTGGAGGAACATTCGTGTATTTTCCCAAAACCCGGTTGAGGATTCCTTCATAATCGCGGAAGTTTGGTGGCGGCTTGATCTAGAGGACCATCATAAATGAGACCACTTTCCTTTGAATCATACATTTACCTCAATCGCTCCCTTGATTCGCCGGTTTCGCATACCGATTGACGGAAACCGCCTCTGAGCATGGTACAAAAGACTACCAAAATTTTTTGCAGCGTTTCCAGCAGGGTGGCGCAGATGTGGTTTGATGTTCCAAAAAATGTGACTTCGATTCTGAGGAGGTGCATAGATTAGGAAGACCATCGCTGTAGTTTTAGGAATACCAGAAGTCGATGTTGTAAATTGCGGCTGAGGCATGGTGGTCAAACTCGATCTCGTCATGTTGTTGAAGATTTGAGTAATAAGCCGATCTAGGGACTAATACCAGCGGAAATTAGGGTCATTTTACGAAAAGGAAATTTTTCCAGTATTAAGGGACAGATATGAGTTTATGAACGAAGTCGAAATTTCTGAGAGAAATGGAACCTCGATAATGTTGCTAATATTTTTTTTTCAGACGGGCTTTGTCCGCTAATGGAACGTGTACCGGCGAACATGGTATTGGAGTTGGAAAAATACCGTATCTCGTGGAAGAGTTTGGTCCGATTGGTGTACAAATAATGAAAAATATTAAACGTGCTCTGGACCCTAATGGTATCATGAATCCAGGAAAAGTATTTGTTTAAGAATTTAAACAATTTGTCGCCTATTTACTTGTTACAAACACGTGTATATCGTAGATTCACGGGGATTTTGCAAGTAGTGCATGTACATAGCTCATTCTCTACAATTTAGGAAGTTTTTCGGATTCTTCTTCTGTGTTTTTTTTATATAATCTCGCTCAGAGATTTTGTGATAGAAATTCTGAAAAAAGTTTTATAGCTTTTGTAAATTCTACTGTCATAACGATGAATACTTAAGTAGCCCAATTCGCTGTTTTCCAAATGTAAACAGGCTGAAGGATGTTCACAGTAAACTCTAGCTGTAGTCAACAGAAAAGATATTCGGCAACGATGAAAGGGCTATATTCAGATGTTCAAGAATCCTCCGAGTATTCCTAGCGCTCAAGTCAGATATTAGGATGTAGAGGTTCGGGTGTATGTCGTTTGGCGCGATGGGCGGGGTCACGCCGCCCATTTGAGGCGGCGCGACCCCGCCCATCGCGCCAAACGACCGGCTCCCTAGAGGTTCTAATAGTTCTCGTCGACAACTCGTCCAGAACCGCAAAACCGTTTTCTTCTCAAATCACCGTATCTAGACGTAGTCACGATATCGTGCAGACACGTCCACTTAGAAGCGGGTGTGCCCATGAAAAATGTCGCTATAGCCTTCGAAAATTATGGTTGTGATTTTTCGAGTGTTTTTCGCCTATGATTTATTTTAACGGTCCTACCGTACCCCTTACCGTAATTCCCCACGGAATCGGTCTAAATGGTAGTCTATAGAGATAATGACAATCAGTATTGTCAAAGAGCCCTTCGCTCTGATTTCTTCGGTTCCAACACAAAGAGGTGTTATAGAAAAAACTTCATTTCATTAATACAGTCAAGAATGACATTTACACGTAATAATACAAATTGTATACATATGTATATGACAATTAGGCTACACATCATTTACATATTTCTACGTCTCAGCGACGTTTCCTGAACATTTTTTAAGGCTCTAAAGGGTGTTTTCCCAATGCATGGCTAGATGGGAAACGATTTTTTGACTTCAAATTTAGACTTTTGGCAGACCAGCGACGATGGCGTGTTCAATTCCACATTCGTTGACTCCTCGGAGGATACGGAAATAGCCTGAAATCGGATACCTTAAATTTGACTCAACCGTGTTGACAGCGGGACGCTCCTATCAATACCACTACACTCCACTACCAATCAAATTATCGATTATGCCCGCTTAAAATCAATATCCCGTTCTAGCTTCATACTACCTTAACCCGACTCTGAATGGTGGTATTTACCACCATGGACGCCAGGTGCTGAAGTTCTGATGGCTTACGATCGACGAGCGGGAAAAGGTACCCAACTGGGTCTTCAGCCAAGGTCGGATTGTACCCGACGTAGTAGGACAGTAGTAGTTACTTACCGTTCTCTCCCCAGTCGGTGTTCCAGGAGTTGGCGACGAGCCAGTATGGAGTCTTGTTGTCGACACCCCATCCAAGGATTCTCACTGCATGTCCACCAACCTCGGCCCCACCAGTGTGCTGCAAAAAATGACACTTTTGGTATTTTGGCTTCTCAGAATAGCAATCTACACTAGCAATCACCATAAATGGAGACAGAAGATTAGGAACAATTGATTTACCGTGTATACTCCACCAGTGTACTGGTAGAAATCCTCGTAAACGGTATAGGCAGCCTCAACGGGTCCATTGGTCATGATTTCCTTCTGGATACCGGCGACAGTCTTGGCCACATTATAGGCAGATGTGCCTGCATTAAAATTTTATTTGAACTGTTTTTATAACAACAAATACGGATTCTTACCGTAATGCTTGTCATCAGCGTAGGGCGTCTTATATCCAGCGATGCACTTGTTGGTGCACACAGGGGTGTCATACTCGTTGGTAGGGCAAGGTCCGTAGTAGGTCTGATTTGGATGGTGACCACATGGAGGAATTGGGTAGGGCTTGCATCCAGACTGAAAGCGTAACTTCTCATCAGTTTCAAGGCTCACTATAGGGTCTCTACTGCTGCTGATGTGAATTTTGACTGAGATGATGTAATAGCAAGTGGCGCACTATCAAAAACCCACATTGTTAGTGGATCGAGTCCCAGTTTATGGCAATGGTCCCAGTTAGAGGACTCTTCAAGATGAAATAACTGAAGAAATGATTTACCTGTGATTCGTAAGATCCTCCAGTGCAGATTCCAGTCTTAACCCAGTATCTCCACGCCTCGATGGGATATCCTCCTTCACAACTAAATCATAAGCAAATTACATCCAAAATGTTATATAATCGGTACATATCAGATCAATAGGGGTATACCCGAAGGCAAGGACTTGCTGTTTACATAAACGCCCACACAAGTTCTCTAGACCATTTTTGCTTTCTCCAATAGGAGCAAAAGCCATCCTCGGACCAGCTGTCTACGTAGTTCCAAGGCATAGTTGTGGGGAACCCTTTCACATTTTCAAACCCTTTCCATTGTACGGGAGGGCTTAAGTGGGGTCCTATTATGAGCAGCACAAGAGTTGAGGAAAAAGTTACTATTGGAGCGATAAATGACAAAAGACTTCTTTCTTCTTCCCCACTCAGTTCGTTTATGATATTTTTAGGATCCCAAATACTCACCCGTTACCACATTTTCTTCCGCAGCATGAGAGCACATCGTCGGCTGAGATAGTGACCTAAAATGATTCTCAGCTCGTTGTCATACATTACTTTACTATGCTATTGTATTACTTATGCTATAATACTATGACTATGGTGTTTTACACATTTTCATCACCAATTATCACTTACAATCAATCACTATTTNAAATTGTCAGGTCTAAATTCTTGATGTAATTTTTTCTGCAAAGCTTAGTATTCGATTTAAAGCTTTCCGAGGGTTCTAATCATCCAAAAAAATTCGAAGTCACAATGGATCTTCGGTTCTCAGTACCCTTAGGTGGGAATTTTAAGAAAGTTTTTTTCTGTAGGAGAAGTACTACCTAATCGGAGCCACATTTACCTGTGTCTTTCCTCCACTGGCGATGCAAATCCTATCGGACATTGCCTCTGCAGCTCCGAATGCCCAGCAGGATCCTAGAAATGGACTGTTTGCTTTCGAAATGAACAACAGAAGGTTGCAACTACTTGAAAGTATGATAAAGAAAACAAAGTCTAGAAAAAGTATTCGTTCTATGTACTTACCACAGTCTGACTGGTCTCGGATGAGGGAGATCGACTTGCACGTTGGCCATTGCTTACGAGCATCAAAACTGAAGTCTTATACTCAACTTTTACCAGAATAACCACAAACAGGGATTACTACTGTAGTCAAAATAAGTCGTAGGCAGTAATTTTGGGCAACCTATTAGAGAAACCTAAGTGTGGGCAATGAGAGACGAGGGGCGATTCTGTGGCGTCATTTCGAAAAGGACGGAGCGCGATCGCTTCCTTCAAGAATGGATGAAGCAGTTACTCCCTGTTTTAGCTTTCCAGGATGTACTATGTCAGTGAAGCATCATCTCTTTGCGATCCCTCCTAATATCAACACAGAGTGAATGGAAACTCTGGGTCCATCCCCATATCCCCGAGGTCTCGCTTCTCTGGACTTTGAGGGCACAACCCCATAGCCATAGAATCCCGCCTCCTCTTCCTCTAAATTTAGAGCTAATATCTTCATAATAACACTAACCTTTCTGGAATTTCAGCATCAATGATGAGCTCCTCAGCTTCTTCAGCGGACTCCATGACGTACTTGACGTCCATAAGTTTCGCTTTCATTTTCTCCATGCTCAGCTTCGATGGAGCAGCCTTAAACTAATCACTTCAGAAAATCAGCGTGAGTTTTAAAATACACAAAGTTATTTGAATACATGGCGCATCCACAGAGCACGAAGTGCAAAACACATGGATCACAAAGAGTTGCCTAAAATGGTTGTGAAGAAATCTTCAAACAAACCTTGAAGAGCTTTTGGTTCTGGTTGACATAGTCAGCAAGCTCTTGGCCTGTGAGACTTTCTGCTTCCTTTGAGATTTTTCGGACTCCATCTAAAGTACAGATCATTCGATACCGATGAATTCTGGAGGGAGGAAAAGATGTTTGCGTCAATCAACTCAGTTACAGTGTTGTCCTAAGGGTTCACGACATTCAGCTTCCTAGGATCGAATGAGAATGTATGGGCCGTCATATTCGCCCGTGAGCAGTATCCATTGTTTGGATCAGTTTTTATGCTCTCTGTTAGTAATCACAAAGAGCTACCCAAGGCTGATGAGCATGAACGATTTGGGATCGCCCTAACCATCAACAGAAACCCATACAACCATATGACGATGAGCTCGCAGTTGCACTATGTCTAGCTAAGCTTAGGGGTTCATACTTTACTACTTCACGCATACTTCCAAGTTTTCGAGGGAAATCAACAGGGTGAAGAACTTCAAGGCACCATAATCTGAAATAAGGTGGAGATGTTTCAGGGGCACTTAGCGCACAGTCCTACTTATGGTCCGAGATCGGATCCCAGATCATTCTTCACCTTTGTCAACGAAGGCTGCCATCTTGCTGGAAAAATATGTGGTACCAGACTGTTGGGGTGGATGGAAAGCTATTCTTCCCGCAAGTCATTGTATAGACCACGAACGCATCAAACTCCTTTACAATTCAGAATGGATGGCGAATGCGGGGCGCATTCCCAACTGGATTGATCAATGCCTGTAAACTTTGTGTTTCTACACTGAAAAAACGTACCAACAATGTCTTGTTTCTGGACAACGAATGCATTCACAGCCACGAGGCCGACTACAGCCAGAAGGAAAGCTTTCTGAAACGAATTTAGCTAGTGAAGCCAAGTAAGAGAAATGAGTTAAGGAAGACTTACCATTTCGGCTGAAATTCGATGTTTTCGAGATAATGCAGGCCTTATATAGGGAACTATGGAACCTTATCACCATGCGCCAAATTCCTTTTTTTTCGGTTTAATCGCCTCATTTACTGCTCCTACAAGGCATTCGGCAGATAAGCTACCAGATAAGGACCCATTGACGCAGGTAATCACGCGTTAGGCGGGCGGTGTCAGTTGCTAAGTTCCCACGTGGACCCTGATCAAAGACCTCAGACCAGACCACAAACCATTTTCATTTCCTCGTAAAGTAGTAGGTGAGTTCGAACAGATATTGGAACTCTGTAATGCAAGTTTGACTACGAACTAGCCAAAGTGATCCAAGTAGAACTTTGAATGGCGAGACATGGTTCCATTCCAAGAAGAAAGACATATTCCACTGTCAGCAGGAAAAAATCAGCGAAATACGAGAATTTCCCCCTGGATTCAACATTACTAGACGCAAGCATCGTACGTAGTCTTTGATTTTTATCGAGAATTCTTGATCAATTCTATTAGACGGTCACGTCGGTGGATCTCCCGGACTTGTCTAATTGTAAGTGGGGACCTAGAGCAGCTGACTCCTGCGGGATTGAACCTAGTACTTCACTGATGACTTAACTCCTTTGAACATTCAAATAATTTCCACGTTACTCCCACAAAAGTTGGTTTTGTTCGACATCCTAAATGAAAAACCAGCGACTACCCTCGGTATTCGTCCCAGAAGTACCTTATAAACTGCGGATACGCCGGGAACCTTCACCGCAGGGTCTATTCCGCCTCCATAGGCAATTAGCCTTTCTCAATTCCAAAAAAGTAAAGATTGTGCTATTGTGAAAAGTATACACCCCTTCCCACTAACCTTTTTTTTNTTTTTTTTCACACTCCACCCACCACTGGTAAGCCCTACCTTGACATTACACGGCTAGTCATCAATGTAGAGTCATCCAAATTGTACGCAGCCTTTCCATGTTCACAGTATGTACAGCGTGGCAGCAGACCCTTTCCAAGAAGTATAAAATGCATATTTATTTTGAAGCATTTGAAGGTTTACAAAGTGAATCTTTGAAGAAACGCTGCCATTCAAAGATTGAGGTAATAATTTAATGTAACGTATAGTCAATATACACGACAAGCAGGAATCCAATTACTCATACAACTGAAGATTTTGATAATATTCTCTTTCTTCAGCACTCCTTTTGTTTTTCGACTGTGCCAATTTCGCCTCAAAACCATTCGACCGATCTACTCCGTCCCATCGGTAGCCGGGTCGTATTCCAAATCGATTTGGCGGACATTCCCCTTGATACGTTGGATACACTGAAATGAATAACATGGCGCTGTGAATCGGTGAAAGACGCATTACTGTAACTCACCTAGGTCCCCCCTCTTCAGGGCTTGTTTACGTTTCTTGCTCTTCAACATTACTGCCATTGGGTCCTCTTCGTGAATTTCTTCTTTTAGGTGCCGATTCATTTCAGCGTCGTCAGCCATCCTCGCCAATGGCTCAGATACAACCCGGGCCATCTCTTCCAGTTGTTCAGCTCGCTGAAGTTCAAAACTAACATATTAGAGGCATCATTTTGCAGGAACATAAAACTTCAGGGGGTTACTACCTTTAGTTATCTCTAGCTATCAATTTTACTAACTAGAACAGCAAAAAAACATCGGAACTCCAAAAGCGAGATGGAAAAGTTGCTCTGTGCTGAGAGTACTTTACAGAGTTTGATAGAATCAAAGCATTATACACATCTAGTGAGAAAAATAACGAAAATCGTACCAGTTGAGCCTGAGCTACTCCTTTGTTCCACAATTGATACTTTTCTTGGAGTTCCTGTTGTTTTTTGGCTTCCCGTTCCTTCCTTTCTTTGTCCTCCGGCTTCTCACGTCCTAGATGGAACAAGATGATATACCAGGTTTCGAGGCTGACAGACAAAGCAAAACACTAAACTAACAAAAAGTCACCTTTCCGAACTTGCTTTTGTCGGACAGTGGTTTCAGCGTTCCTTCCACTCACGGACGCATCCATTTCTTCAAACATCTGAAAAAAGGACTTTGATAAAATTACAGTATCGCAGGAAACAGTCACCTAGGTCTAGAAAAAAACGAGCCAACACTATTACCTTCGCTTCACGTTCACGGAGTTTTTCCGACTCTTTTTTGAGATCAGCAGCTGACTGGAGCCCGGCTACCTGAGTAAGCGATACAGTTAATTATCAGATCAATCTATAGAGTTTGATCAATTATCATCTATGAAATCACACTCGAAAAGAGGGACCAGACAAATTCAGTAAAAGCTTAGGTCTTTTGTTTCAATAGCTATTCATGTATGGATTACCTGAAATTTTGTTCTTACCTTGCCATCAAGAGTTTTCTGAGGCTCCTTACCCAGTCGTTCAGGTGTTGCTATACGACGTTCGCGATGTTTTTCCGATTCTTGCCGACGGGATGAAGGCCTTCCTAAAATAGTTCTGCGCCGTCAGTGTAGGAATCGCCACACAATCAGCAGAATAGGGCAATGGATATGGCTCCTGATAATAAATATGGACGTTGATGTTCTAGAGTTATAACATTGCCTTTGCTACATCCCTGGGTGTGATCGTTACAATTAGACTCTTTCTTACTCCTTTGAACTATGCTTATGGGGTGAGTTTAGGGGAGTAAGGAAGCGATTAAAAAGTTCATAGTAAAAAGAAGTATCACATTGTGAGAATAATAACGCAATGGAAAGGTTGATGAATTGAAATGTGACTACACTGAAATACGAAAAGACAGACAAGACACCATTAGCTATTGAACTGTGAACCTAAAAAATAAAGAAAAGGTAAAAGAGGCAAAGACAGGCAGTAAAAAAACTTGCCATGCTTCCTTGGTGGCGACTGATCTGAATCTGAGCCCTTCGTCCTTACCCAAGAACGATCTGGAGAAATCAAGAATAAATAACCGTGGATGAAAACTACCTCAACTGAATACCTAGCAGCTCAGTTTAATTACCTACTAACTTTCTAATAATACTTGATTGAGATGGTAAGAATATTATCTGTATATTTCTTATACAGTAACTATTTGTTTGCTTCAAGAGATAGGAAAACGAATATTCTAAAATATGCAAACAAACCTTTCCCAGGCGGGGATTGATCAGAATCAACTTCAGTCTTGACAGCAGGATGTTGAGACCGTTCTGAAAATGAAAACAGAAATAACCACATTTATGGGTAACGTTGTACTTTGTAACGAAAATCGAGACTAAAGACGGAGTTCGACCTTTCGCAAGACGACTACGATAAAGACTGAAATAGAAGTAATTGAATAAAAGAATATATGGATCCAAATAAGCAGTAAAACTACAAATAATCCTGGTATAGTTCTGGGGAAAAGAAAGCGACAAAATACCAACTGCTCGCAAATTGAGGGAATTCAACTAACCATGCCTGCGAGGTGGTGATAGGTCTGAATCTGAATCATTTCTTTTTCGTCCTGGTCGCTCTAAAAATTCATAGTCAGCAAAGGCACTGAAGAGGTAGTGAAGTATGAAAATGAGGTCCGATATTTACAGCAAAAAAATGAAAAAGAAAGGAAAAGAAAAATAAGCCGCTCACCACGTTTGCGAGGCGGCGACTGGTCCGAGTCAGAGTCATGTCGTTTTCGTGTATGCTGTTCTGAAATGGTCAGAGCAAACGTTAAAATTGAGTAACTGTTTTGGCACACTTCACTGAAGTTGTTCTTCGAAAGTTGGCAACTTCACAAAACACCACACTCAATTGAAAATAGTTTTGCTTGCTTTTAAACTCACCTCTTCTTGGAGGCGACTGATCTGAGTCCACTTCAACTTTGATGGAAGCGTTTTTGCTAGAAGACTCTGAAAAACATCATGCTATCTCAGAAAGTATCAGATTAGGTGAAGATATGTTTTCAATTCTACTCAGTACCTAACTCTCAGCAAACGCAATAAAAATAAAAATCAAAAAAGAAAATTCCGAAAAAAAACTAACGAGGTTTGCGAGAAGGCGAATTATTGGACCTAGAATCCCGATCCCTTTGCGACGATCTTTCTGAAACGACTTATTTTTAGTAATCGAAGACGATGAATCCTACAAAACCTTAGCAGACTTAGCTAGAACTACAGGCAAGAATGGGCATGGGCCAGAAAGGACTTGAGTTCCTGACCGCGCCAAAAGAGTCGTGGACTTACCGTGCACAATCCAGGCATGAATAAACTCACCATGCTTTCTTGGTGGCGACTGATCAGAATCATGACGTCTTCTCTTTGAGTGTGTTTGTGGGTCATCTGAAAACACAACTCAGTAAAGTATGTTACGATCAAATGAAACGGTGGACTTACTTGGTTTCCTTATGGGTGACCTATCCTTGCTCCGACGTCGTTCCTTTCGAGATGATTTTTCTAAAAATGACAGAATGTAATTTTCCGCACACTCAGTAGAAACCAAATAGAAACTAACCTCGACGTGGAGATGCCGATCGATCGGAATCATGTCGTTTTCTTGAAGAACGCGGATCAGGATCACCTAGATGAATGGAATTACTTTTCAGCCCATCGTACTAGTTTAATAGTAGCGGAAATTGCTCATAAGACCTAGAGTCACACATTCACTCAAGAGTTGAAAAAAACAAATGAATTGAAAAAGAAACAAGAAGAAAAATTATCTTAAGATGGAAAACATGTGAGAAGACACTAACGTTTTCTTGGTGGAGAAATGTCGGAATCACTATCATGATGACCTTTCGCTGAAACAGTTTCAGTTAAGGACTTTTTAACTAACATTCAGAAGTAGAGCGTGCTATATAGGCTTGTGAATAACGTACCTTTTCTTGGCGGTGAAATATCGGAATCGGAATCATGTCGACCCTTTGCTAAAACAAGAACATTTTAGTGAAAAAAACCTCTTTAGTGGGTTCATAAACGGACGCTTGGAAGTGAAAAACGGGCTAGGCTAGTACCAAATAGGAATTATAAGCTTATGTATACCGTACCTTTTCTTGGCGGTGAAATATCAGAATCATGTCGACCCTTTGCTAAAACAAAAACATTTTGGTGAGATAAAATTTCTTTGATTCGTTCATAAACGGACGCTTGGAAGTGAAAAACGGACTAGGCTAGTACCAGATCGGAATTATAAGCTCATAAATACCGTACCTTTTCTTGGCGGTGAAATATCAGAATCGGAATCATGACGGCCCTTCGCTGAAATAAGAGCGTTCTAGTGATCTCTCCGGGCTATTGAAAACTTGAACGTATTAAAAAGCTACTTCAGCAATACATATCCTGTACGTAAGCAATGTAACTCACATTTTCTTGGAGGAGAAGCATCAGAGTCGTTGCGACTTTTAGCTGCAACAAGAACAGATGAATGGTAAGAAAGAGTAGCATTTATACTATATGTGAATACGCTACGTAAAAAATTTTATCGCGGTAAGACCTATACGGTTCTTCTCGTCCATCTAGTTTAGTTCACTACGTTCCATTCTCATGCCAGTTGCCGTGTTGCTCGACTATTTTCAATAAGTTTTAATTTGGTTAAAAAAAAGGAAAATTTTGATTGTTTACAAAAAGCATCCTACTAAACATAGGAAGGTAACTCAAGGTTTAGCAAAAGAATAGCTTAGGTCCAACTCTTTAGAAAATTTTGAAACTCTCCCTCAGCTCTCTGCAGCTAGAAAAATTCTTTTTCTCCCTCATATGATATCTGATACTTTAGGAGCTTTCTCCCAGAGTTTGAACTCACCAGCTCTCCGTGGGGAACTGCTCGATTCAGGTTTTGTATCATCTGAAAAGTATGGCCTTTTTATATGATTCAAAACTAATCCACATTATTAGGCAAAAGTAATACCGGCAGCTGAAGGTGAAGGTGGTTCCTGTTTGACTTCATCAAGAGGTACGAAAGATTTCCTAAACTTCGGCGCTTCTCGGGCTTTCGCCTCCACCTAGAAAAGTAAGTGAAATGTCCTATAACACAGATTTAGCCAAAAATACTGAGCTGAACATAATTCGAACCTGTTTCGTGATACTTGCTATGATTTCAATGTCTTCCTTTTCTTCGTCTGTGTCGATGTCTTTATAATTTGCAGAAACTGCTATGAAAGCATCATCTTCCACAATACGCAACCTAATGAGAATTGAGAAATTAGTTAGCTGAATGATCGTAGGTAAGAAATATGTGGTACATACTACGCCAAAAAGTACCCTGATCCACGAGCCGGTTCTTTAACCTTTTTCTTTTTCTTCTTTTTCTTCTCGTCCTCATTACCAGAAGAAAGATATCGTTGCAAGTATTCGGCTTTGGAAAGAGTGGTCATTCAATGTTCTGGACGCTCTCTAAGACGAGTGTGACATAATCAATTCGCTCAATAAACGTGGTCATTCGAAGATGAAATAACGACATCTCTAGTGCACTACTTGTGTTCATAACAGAAAATTTTAACAAAGTTTCTTAGTATGGAGAGCTGGAGAGCCGGCCTTTTGGTAGATATCATGGTACGGTATTTCAAGATAACGAGTGATTATCTACTAGAGATCGAGGAAGACTCGTCACATATCCCATACTAAAAGAAAGTGATGTCCCAGTCCAGATACCATAGCAGACTGTAGCCCAAAACTGAGGGCTGCAAAATATAGGACGCTTCTGCGCCCTACTCTTCCAGTGCTGCCAGGTGCTCCGAAGCTTAATTACCCTCATCTAGCATCCGAAGCTGATGGTCACCGCGACGGATGGTGCTGATCTTATGCCTATGTCTTATCTTATGACTGTTGCTCCGTTCATCCGTCGGCCTTTCCAACGCCTCCTCCTCATGCCTTAGCCCCTGCTTCCTCAGCATAATATTCGAAAGCTATGATATACATGACTGGTGGATGATCGATGGGTTCTGTACTTCTATAAGTATGGAAGTATGGTTGCAATTCTTCAACTTCGAACTTCATGAAGCGCAGCGCCTACAGAAAAGTCATACTAACAAAAATCATCTATTAATCTAAAAATCAGAAGGAAGAGCTACTCTGAATAAAGCCGTAGTTCTCGAAAATAGAGATTCGAAGAAATTAAAAGTGTTTGTATCTGTACTGACCGCACAGCTTGTCGCGATCTCGTTTCACTCGGTGGTTCAGAATGCTATTCCGTCATTAATATTAAGAAGAACCCAATCTTGTTACTGATGATGAACGGAACTCATTTATACAGGAGGTGACAAAACCAACTTGATAAAGGGATTACTATACCGCTTTACAACATTTGCGGTCAGGCGAATTCCACGCAAAGCGAGTCAGTGCATACTCGGAAACAGATTTGAACAGTTTGTTAAATTGATCTTGAGAGAAACGTCACAGATAGAGACATAGTTTGAGGAAGATGTTTGCCGACGAAAATTACAGCTACAAATCGAAAATGGTCACTTTTGCAATTTTTGGCGTCTCTAATGTTTTGTTCGTAGCTACGTACAGTATCTTAGAGCTGCCGTCTCACTTTTTTCGAACGCTTCGAGCGAGTTGTTTCGTACATAATTTACGACATTTCGTTGGTTTCCCTCCTATTCCTCGTTCTTCAAGATAGTCTTGATTGTTTTTCTGGAATTGCATTTACGATGGTTGTTTTTATTTTTTGGAAATCGGTCCAATAACAATAGTCCAAGTCAAGGCTGCTTTCATAACGAATTTCTAGATTATTATGTCTGCCGATGTACAATCAGTGCCGAACACTAGTGAGGAAACCAATGCTGATAAAAATGCTGATGACGGTGAAGGAGGTGTGAACTGTTTCAATTCTTTTGCTTTGTAAGAAGGGAGCACCTTCCTACTGCATCGTGCTGCTTTTCGTGTTGATTACAGGAATCCAGCAACCGGATCAAATGCAGAAGACACTGCTAAACTTGGTATTCCGGTCTATGAAGCGAACCCATGATATGTTCAGCAATGACTATACAACATTTCCAGAATTAGCGGAAAAAGAGTAAGTTGTGGGCGTAACATCAGCAGCCGATATACATTTTGTTCATGTTCCAGGTTAAATTTTATTCGATCTCTAAAGAAAAGGTGTGAATATAGCTCTGTAATACGGCATGTTGAGGAAGCTAAAAAGCGGCGAGAGCAGGAGCTCTTAAAGGTGCAGTTACTTTTCTTACTCTGTCATTTTCTTCTTGTCCTTTGATTTGAAAACTGACGAAGTGCAATAGCGGTTGTTATTATAAGTAAGTTAGTAATTTGACGGATTCACGGGAAACGATCTAATCTGTAAGGATTTGTGCATATTTGATAAATAATTTTATTTGGGTGACAGGCGATGTTCTATCCCCAAACTTTTCGGTAGGTGAAGTTTCTATGGGCTAAATTCCCTGTCACATAGTCGGTTCTTTGGTGAAGGGCGATTGGTCCTCTCCTTGTTTACCGTAAACACTGGTTTTCACTGTATATTATTACTTTCGGTTGAGAAAGGGTCTAAGGATTGGAGCAATCGAGGTGGTTTGCTCTGAGGAAGCTAAAATGAAGAAATTTCGGGAACACGTACATCAGTGTAAATCTATAGCATTGGGCACTGGAGATCTTTGAAGATTTCCATGTGAGAGAGCTCGGCCTGTTCGGGACGATCCAGAGATTTCAAATAAATAACGTTGATTTCCTGATTGCAATGAACGTACCGACGACGATCCTCATTCGCTCCGTTGTTTGATTCAATTTTTTTTCAGTTACCAACTAAACAGCCCAGCGCTGGTATTGGATCTGTGATGAATTCTTCAGATAGACCGATGGCCATTACTGACGGAACTGGGAAGCCTGTTCAAACCAGCTCACAGCAAGGGTTCGGTAGCATTTTTTACTCCCCGATGTCTTATAAAACTGCAGTTTTCAGGCAGGTATTGACCTCACTTCCGGTAGGCTCAAGCGGTGGCAAATCAGAAGACAATACCACTCGATCACTACTGCCCCTTCGGGCTCCTATGATGGTCAAACCCAAATGGCATGCGCCGTGGAAGCTTTATAGGGTGATTTCTGGTGAGTTTAATGCTAATGGTACCTTAAAGGCTGCTTAACCATGCCTTAGGATCAATGTTTAGGACACACGGGATGGGTACGTGCTGTTGATGTGGAGCCACAAAATCAGTGGTTCGCCAGCGGGGGAGGTGACCGTATTATAAAGGTAAAGTGGTTATCGGTACTTATGATCTCTTGGCAATCTTGAACTAGTTCTCTTTTAAGATTTGGGAATTAGCGACCGGAAAACTTCGCCTCTCTCTGACCGGACACATAAGTGCAGTGAGAGCAGTTAAGGTCTCTGAACGTCATCCTTTCCTATTCTCAGGTGGAGAAGATAAACAGGTTGGTGAATACCGCTTTTGGTCCATCGCGAAAGTGATTGCTTCTCTCATGCAGGTGAAATGTTGGGATCTCGAATACAATAAAGTAATTCGTCATTATCATGGTCATCTCAGTGCCGTGCAGGCGCTAAGCATTCACCCAACATTGGATGTACTTTTCAGTTGCTCTAGAGATTCCACAACAAGGGTGGGTGATTTGATGTTTTGCTTTTTTAGGTAAAGCGCTACTTTTCGCCTTTTCTCGTTTCATGCTGACTCTTTTCTGGTTTGATTACTCGTATACAGGTATGGGATATGCGCACAAAAGCTCAAGTTCACTGTTTGTCTGGACACACAAACACGGTTTCAGATGTCGTATCCCAGGCTGCTGATCCTCAGGTAAGCGTTCGCAGAGTGTAATTGTGGGACCAGAGCTTACAACTATTTGAATACGGTTTACCAAATGTGTAATTGAAGGTGGTAACGGCATCACATGACGCAACTGTCCGGCTTTGGGACCTGGCGGCCGGAAAGTCGATTTGTACGCTTACCCACCATAAGGTTCGCCCGTTTGACAATTATGCACTTACTCAATTTCGCATTTCTAAAAATCAATAGCTTTTTGAGCATTTCAAACGTTCATTCCTTTTAGAAGTCAGTAAGATCTCTTGTGCTTCATCCACGCTTGTTTATGTTTGCGTCCGCATCACCTGATAATATTAAACAGTGGAAGTTCCCTAATGGAGAGTTCATGCAGGTCTGCTTTGGACACGAATAATATTTCATCGTTGTAGTACCAATTCTTTCAAATATTTTTGAAAAGACCATGTTCATCTCCATATGAATACGGTTCCCTTTTCTTACGCGATGTAATTTATCTCGTGAAGGAAACATTTCAGTCTAATTTCAGAATCTTTCTGGTCATAATGCCATCGTTAACTCATTGGTTTGTAATGAGGATGGTGTCCTCGTATCCGGTGGAGATAACGGATCTATGTGTTTCTGGGACTGGCGATCAGGTTTCTGTTTCCAGGCAAGTTCTTGGTTTCTTCTCTTTTCGAGCTATTATGCGTAGATGTCACTTCTTTCAGAAGATTCAAACAAAAGCGCAACCCGGATCCATTGATTCTGAAGCAGGTATCTATGCGCTATGCTATGATAGGACAGGACTACGTCTGATAACAGCAGAAGCTGATAAAACAATAAAGATGTACAAGGAAGACGATGAAGCGGTCAGTTAATTTCGAAACTTTTATGAGATTACGGTGCTCTAGGCCCTCTTTCACTAGCTCTTTTTGCAAGCCTATCCTTCTCATTTGAGAATGTCGCGTCTTCTGCCTAAACGCATTTTTTTTGAAATTGTCCAAGTCTTACACCAAAGAAAAGCTGATGGCATTGACCCTCCAACGACCGATAACGTGTGCAAGAAGAACTCAGAATAGTGATTTGTATTCTAATTTATATTGTCTAAGCGTTGCAGTTAACCCATCTCAATGAGAATTTCTTGAGGGTTCGATTTTTATTGTTTCTTTTTCAGACGGAGGAATCACATCCCATTGTATGGCGACCCGAGATCGTCAAGAAGAAGGCCTATTGATTTTTTTCGTCTGAGAAACTTGTATTTATTGTGTTGTGAAATTCCGTTATTGTTGTCTGTTGGTGAAAGGACGTCGGTTTCACAATAAAACTTCAATTAACTGTTTTTTGGGTGTGTAAACAGTTTCTCTGTACATAATTATCTACAATTTTTGAGACTAAATTGTACCGGTCC